GGAGGCTGAGGCAGGAGAATCACTTGAACCCAGGAGGTGGAGTTTGCAGTGAACTGAGATTGCCCCATTGCACTCCAGTCTGGGTGACAGCAAGTGAGACTCCATCTAAAACATTTTTAAAAAAGAAATGGAGGACACAGAGCCTCAGTATCAATGCTGGACACAGATTAGAATCAGCTGGGGTAATGTAACTACTATCAAGGCTGGACTCCAACCCCATTACATTAATGGAAATCTCAGGTAAAGAGGTACAAGAGTTTTATTTGCAAAACGACTCAGTACTCTCAAGTCAAACCAGGATTGAGCTCCACTCAGAGGGAGTGTGAAATAACAAGAAATATATTTTTGGTCTCTGCCCCTGGTTCCTGGGACATAGATCCTAAACCCCTCATAGAAAGGGGTGTTAGGAGAATCTTTTGTTCTTATACGTGGTCTTTGACCCCGCATCCTTGCACAAAGCTCCTAAATCCTTGGAATTTCCTGCATGTTAGGAGTGTCTTTGGTCTAATGAGGCAAGTCTTGGTGGGCTCCTGGACACAGCCAGTTGCCCGAAAGACTAAGCCATGATTAGAAGCTTGGAAATTTCAGCTCCATCACTCATTTCCCAAAGAGTGGAACAGGCTGAAGATTGAGTTAATAATCTCTCATGCCTACAGGATGAAGCCTCAATAAAAATTCCTGATCTATAGAGTCTGGAGAGCTTTCTGGTTGACAAACACATCTGAATGCCAGGAGGGTGGTACACCCAAATCCACAAGACAGAAGCTCCTGTGCTCAGAACATTCTCAGCCCTCACCATACATATCTCTTCATCTGGCTGCTCATGGCTATCATTTATGATATCCTTTATTCATACACCAAATCCTCACTAGATCTTATCAATAGATTCTTGGAAACAGGAACTTTAAGTGAAATGGCAACTTTTCCTCATCAACATAAAAAATGGCATTGAATGGCCGGGCGCAGTGGCTCACGCTGTAATCCCAGCACTTTGGGAGGCCAAGGTGGGCGGATCAAGAGGTCAGGAGATTGAGACCAACCTGGCCAATATGGTGAAACCCCATCTCTACTAAAAATACAAAAATTAGCTGGGCATGGCAGCACGTGTCTGTAATGCCAGCTACTTGGGAGGCTGAGGCAGGAGAATCACTTGAACCCGAGAGGTGGAGGTTGCAATGAGTGGAGACCGAGACACTGCACTCCAGCCTGGCGACAGAGCTAGACTCCATCTCAAAATAATAATAATAGGCCGGGCGCAGTGGCTCAAGCCTGTAATCCCAGCACTTTGGGAGGCCGAGACGGGCGGATCACGAGGTCAGGAGATCGAGACCATCCTGGCTAACACAGTGAAACCCTGTCTCTACTAAAAAAAAAAATACAAAAAACTAGCCGGGCGAGGTGGCGGGCACCTGTAGTCCCAGCTACTCAGGAGGCTGAGGCAGGAGAATGGCATAAACCCGGGAGGCGGAGCTTGCAGTGAGCCAAGATCATGCCACTGCACTCCAGCCTGGGCAACAGAGTGAGACTCCGTCTCAAAAAATAATAATAATAATAATAATAATGACATTGAACAAAACAACGTTATTTGAGGACCTGCTGTATATCATTTCATTCATGACTCAATTTCCAAGAACCTATAGAAAACATTAAGCGAGGACTGACTGCAAAAAAAAATCAGTAAACATAAGTAAGTGCTTCCAGCAGTTCTGTGAGCTGTCCTCACAAATTAATCAAAACCAAAGAGGGAGTCATGGGAGCCCCAAAATATAGGTCAGTTTTAAGGACAGGTGACAATCTATTACTTTTGACTGATGTCTGAAGTGGCGGCAGGGTGGGGCGGGGGGGGGGGGGGGGGGTGGTCTTGTGGGACTAAGACCTTAACCTGTTGGATCTGACTCTAACTCCAGGTGCACAGTGTCAGAATTGAATTGAATTATAGGACACGCAGCTGGTGTCCACTGGAGAATTGCCTAGTGTGTGGGAAAAAAACTCCCACACATTTGCTGTCAGAAGTGTTCCATGTTGGCTGGGCGCAGTGGCTCATGCCTGTAATCCCAGCTACTCGGAGGCTGAGACAGGAGAATCGCTTGAACTTGGGAGGTGGAGGTTGCAGTGAGCCGAGGTCGCACCACTGCACTCCAGCCTGGGTAATAGAGGGGGAGACTCGTTTTCAAAAAAAAAAAAAAAAGAATACTGGGTGTCACAGGACAGGCCGAGGTCACCTCCTCCACCATGGGTGTCACAGAACAAGCCCAGCTCACCTTCCCACCACGGGAGGTGACTGCCTAGAGGGGCGTGGGGGCTGAAGGCCCTCCCTGAGAAAGATTTCAGACGAGAAAGACAGATGGCACCTTAGGACAGGGGTGGGGTCTGCAGAATCCCAGAACCAAGGTAACGAACCGGCCCCTCCGGACTGAGGCTGCAGCGCTGCGCACCAAGGGCCGACAAGGGCGAGTCTTGGAGAACCGGATAGACCTGAACCCACCTTGCAGGTGAAGCCTCTAAAAAGTGCCCCCGGCTGGGCGCGGTGGCTCACGCCTATAATCCCAGCACTTTGGGAGGCCGAGGCGGGCGGATCACGAGGTCAGGAGATCAAGACCATCCTGGCTAACACGGTGAAACCCCCTCTCTACTAAAAAAAAAAAAAAAAAAAAAAAAAAAAATCCGCTGGGGCGGGCGCCTGCAGTACCAGCTACTTGGGAGGCAGAATGGCGTTAACCCGGGAGGCGGAGCTTGCAGTGAGCCGAGATCTCGCCACTGCGCTCCAGTCTGGGCGACACAGCGAGACTCCGTCTCAGGAAAAAAAAAAAAAAAAGGTCCCTCCTGCGTGGCGGGAAGAAAAATCGGTAAAGGATTTTAGGCAGCAAAAGACGCGAAAGGCCATGTTTACCTAGCGCAAGGCAGAAAGACCAGATTCAGGAAGTAGCCTTAGAGTGACTTTAACCCAAAGGGAAAGCGATCCCCGCACTCTCGCAGCAACGTCAGAATTTACCTGGGGTGGAGGGCGCGGTGCGGGCATTTTAAGATCTGTAGGGATCCTCTCCAGACCCGGCGGATGGAAGAAGGGGGACTGCGAAGCGCAGATTTAATCTGGAGAGAGCGAAACTCACGCTCTGCCGCGCAGCCTTCAGTCCCCGCGATCCGCTTCCGGGTTTGCAGAAAACCGCGCGCAGCTGAGACAGGGCGGCTTGGGGGCGGGGAAGGGGCGGGGCCTGGCCAGGGAGAGTAGCGCAGGGGGCGGGGCCGGAGAGGACTGAGGGGTCCTAGGGGCGGGGCCTAGGAGGGGCGCGACCGGCACAGGGAGGGGGCCGGGGAGAAAACGCGCAGGGTGGGGCGGGGCCGGGAGGGACCAAAGGAGGGCGGGTGGGAACCTGCGTTCCCAAAGCGTCCCTATTTTCTGGGTTTAGGAACACTTAAGTCTATTTCGTGTCCTGCGGAGCGGTTTTGCTTTCTGCTTATTTTAAGTTAATGTTTCCATTTTAAGGTAAACCGTTAGAATTATGTGGACCATCGCTATTGGAAACAAGATATTTTCGTAAGTTGCAAACTTAAATTGCTCTACTATTTTTAAAAAGTTACTGCTTTTTCTAAAGCAAGAGTTAATGTCACCGGTATTAGCCCTCCTCGCTCCACACCCCAGGTATTTACCATATGAAAATCTCTGCAACTGTGCACAGGGCTGACTCTCTCCCTTCATGGTGAATGGGTGTAGAATATGGAGGGGATTGTGTTAAGTTCTGTTGCGAGGTGACTTGAAATTACTTACACATTCTGCCCAGGCAGAGTTTTGCATTTCACATTCTAGTTTGCATACACTTCACAGACATTTTCAGGGCTTTTTAGTTAAGCTTAAATTAATTCACATTGCAGAAACTTTCGGGCATTCAATCTACCCCAGACCGACACCCCCAGAGATGCCAGATCCCCACACCCAGAGTTGCTTCAGTCTCACTAGTAGCTCTTCTGTCCTACCTGCTGGCAGAAATAACCATTTCAACATAAACCATTTCAACTTCTGTCCCATTCGCTGACAAAGATACCTTTTAACGTACTTTAACGTATTAACGTATTAACCATTTCAACTTTCCTTTGCCCAAGATTCCTATTCCCATGGTCAGGTTGGGATCTACCCTCAGTAATAACTACGGTGGCCCAGGGGATTGTAATCTGTGTGCAGCATTGAGCACCAAGGCTCTGTGTTCTGTGTTTCTGATTACATTTTTCAGCTCTAAAATGTCTGTTTCTCCTTTATAGCTTTTGTCTCTTTATTGGTAGTCTCATTTTGCTCATATCTTGTTTTCCTGATTTCCTGTGGATGTCTATGTGTGCTCTCTTAATTCACTGACCATCTCGTGACTCTTATTTTCAATTCTTTGTCTGGTAATTCACACATCTTCATCTCTTTAGTGTCAGTTTGTGGTGGTTTCATTTGTTCCTTTGTGTGGATCATGTTTCCTTATCTTCTTGAATGTCTTGTTATCTTGGCACCTCAGCATTTCACTAATCAGCCACTCCTACTTTTTTATTTCTGGCTTCCTTCAGGGAAGACATTCCCTATTCAGCCTGACTAGAGATTCTGGAGACCTCTGAAGCCTTTTCTGGGAATGTGGCGTCTCTGGGCTTTTGCTTGTAGTTACCTGAGAAGATTTGCCAGTCTTTCTTCAGGAACGCTCCTGTTCACAGCCTGCAATTCTGCAGTCCCTGTGTTTTCATGGTAAGCTGTGGTCTGGTTCTCCACCTAGTGTCTGCGTGCGCTACTGCAGACTCTGGTTTATGTTGATTGCCTTTGTTCTCAGTGATTTCCCTGACCTGGCATCCTGTCATTTTCAGTGTTTATGTTCAACCAAGACAGAAACTTGTCCCTCAGGCAGTGCCCTGAAAAGTCAGGATATTAGATGGACCTTTCCATACTTTCTCTACCCTTTGAGAAATCAAGAGTCGGTGGTTTCATCACAGTGATACCCCGTGATGCCAGGGTAGGACCTCTATCAGTGTCTCCAATTTTCCTACTGGGCATTTATTAAGAGTTCCAGGCTGGGCTCAGTGGCTCACGCTCAGCACTTTGGGAGGGTGAGGTGGGTGGATCACTTCAGGTCAGGCGTTCGAGACCAGCACAGCCAACATGGTGAAACTCTGTCTCTACTAAAAATACAAAGAATTAGCTGGGTGTGACGGCGTGCACTGTAATCTCATCTACTCAGGAGGCTGAGGCAGGAGAATCGCTTGAACCCAGGAGGTGGAGGCTGCAGTGAGTCGAGATCTTGCCACTGCACTCCAGCCTGGGTGACAGAGTGAGACTCGGTCTCAAAAAAAAAAAAGTCCAACCACTTACGTGGTGTCTAGATTTCTTACAAAGGCAGTTGGTAAATGTGTTGTTACTAGATGTGTGTCTTCGTGATGGAGATAGTGTTTGGGGATAGTGTTTGGGACTTCCTATTCCTCTGTCTTATTGGCATCACCAATTCAGCAGTTTTGTAATTTATTTACATAGGTCTGGAAATGTATTTTAATTAGGTGCCATAGCATATTTTCTATTGGAAATACAGGATGTGGGGGGTGTGTGTGTGTGTGTGTATGTGTTTAATGAGAGCTACTTTAAAAAGAAGATTGTTTTCATTATACTGTTACTAGTTCTTTTTTATTTTTTATTTTTTTTGACGGAGTCTCGCTCTGTCATCCAGGCTAGAGTGCAGTGGCACGATCTCAGCTCACTGCAACCTCCGCCTCCTGGGTTCAAGTGATTCTCCTGCGTCAGCCTCCCGAGTAGCTGGGATTACAGGTGCACGCCACCACGCCTGGCTAATTTTCGTATTTTTAGTAGAGACAGGGTTTCACCATGTTGGCCAGGCTGGTCTCGATCTCTTGACCTTGTGATCCACCTACTTGGGACTCCTAAAGTTCTGAGATTATAGGTGTGAGCCACCGCGCCCAGTCCTATTGTTACTAGTTTTTTATGTAAACGACATTGTTTTTCTATGTTACGGTCATGTCTTCTGTTAGTTTTAACAAATAGATCTCTTTATTCCCTTTCCCGCCCCCTGATTTTCCACCCTTTTCCTTTTTACTGGTCCCTACTCAACCATTCTGGACAGTGGTGTTTCCTGGAGCCCTGGCCAGCCCCCTTTTCACCATCTTAATTAAAGGAAATGTATCCCATGTTTACTGGTGATCATGATACCTGGTATAATTTTGTTGCTTTAATGTTTGATTGTGATAATGTTTTTTTTCCAAATTTCCTTTTCAGACTGATTTTTAATGACCCAATAATTTTTTGAGGTAAGTACTGCTGCTAAACATATTTTTCTTCTAAATCAGTTAAATTAATATGTAATACTAAAAAACTGTCTAATTGTTTGTTATGGTTTTATTAGTGGAATAAACTAATAACCTCCATTGGGCTTTTGTTAATGCCTAAATATCTGAGTTTCATTGCATAAACTTGTATTTTTTTTTTTTAGATATGTGTATTTAATAGATATTGGAGTTCAAGTTTTGGGTTTTTGTTTGTTTGTTTGTTTTTTGAGGCAGAGTCTTGCTCTGTCGCCCAGGCTGGAGTGCAGTGGCATGCTCTCGGCTCACTGCAAGCTCTGCCTCCCGGGTTCACGCCATTCTCCTGCCTCAGCCTCCCGAGTAGCTGGGACTACAGGCACCCGCCACCACACCCGGCTAATTTTTTTTTTTTTTTTTGTAGTAGAGATGGGGTTTTAGCATGTTAGCCAGGATGGTCTCCATCTCCTGACCTCCTGATCTGCCCGTCTCAGCCTCCCAAAGTGCTGAGATTACAGGCATGAGCCACCGCCCCCAGCCTGAGTTCAGGTTTCTATATGGTACTTTTATGTTATACCATTTTTTAATAATTTTAATTTTTTTATTTTTGAGACAGGCTGGAATATGATGTCTGTCATAGCTCACAGCAGCCTCAAAATTCTGGGTTCAAGAGATCCTCCCCCTCAGCCTCCTGAGTATGTGGGACTACAGGCATGTACCACCATCCCCAGCTCATTTTAAAATTTGTTTTGTAGAGATGATGTCTTACTTTGTTGCCCAGGCTGGTCTTGAACTCCTGAGCTCAAGTGATCTGCCTGCCTCAGCCTCCCAAAGTGCTGGGATTACAACCATAAGCCACAACAGCTTGTTGTACAATTTTTAGTAGTTTGATATACGATAGTGTTTATAAACTACATTAAGTGCAATTTGTACATTTCCAGTGTCCCAAACTTGCTGAAATGCACATGAGGAAAAGTGGTGATTTTAAAAATCATTGAAAAAAGTGAGTCCTTGAGACACAACTCTTCTTATTTAATTGTGTGTACATGGGATGTGCGTGCATTAGTGTATGCAGGCAGAAGCCCATGGTTTTTATCAAGGACACATCATCCTGTGAAATAAGTTTTGTATTTTTTAACAATTGAAATTATATCTTAAATGTTTTCCATGTTAAATTTGTTCTCTGCTATCACATGACTGACTTAATTGTAAGAGTAGTAAAGTCTTATGGATGTCGATGTGTGTGTGTATGTAATGACCTTTTATGCAGCTCCATGTTGGTACCCTTGAACTATTCAACTTTTCTCACTTAGGTAACCTACTGTCAATTTACTTGTGAAGCTGTAAAATACAAAAATTATACAAAAATTAGCCGAGTGTGCTGGCAGGCACCTGTAATCCCAACTCTCTGGGAGGCTGAGGCAGGAGAATCGCTTGAACCCAGGAGGTGGAGGGAGCTCATGCCATTGCATTCCAGCCTGGGCGACAAGAGCAGGACTCCGTCTTAGAAGAAGAAGAAGAAAAAAAAAAAACCAAAAAACTTCACGTGTTTAAGAATATAGGAAAGGCCGGGCGCGGTGGCTCAAGCCTGTAATCCCAGCACTTTGGGAGGCCGAGACGGGCGGATCACAAGGTCAGGAGATCGAGACCATCCTGGCTAACCCCGTGAAACCCCGTCTCTACTAAAAAATACAAAAAACTAGCCGGGCGAGGTGGCGGGTGCCTGCAGTCCCAGCTACTCGGGAGGCTGAGGCAGGAGAATGGCGTAAACCCGGGAGGCGGAGCTTGCGGTGAGCTGAGATCCGGCCACTGCACTCCAGCCTGGGTGACAGAGCAAGACTCCGTCTCAAAAAAAAAAAAAAAAAAAATAAAGGAAAAACTGATTCAGTTTCTCCTACTATTCTCTCACA